TTCATCTATTATTCTCTCCAAGTTTTTAGAGTGGGCGGGGAAGTTCATTGGTTTGCCCTGTGACCCCAAATTTCTGATGAATCTCAAAAGAGTTGCTAGGTTTTCAGTTTGTTAAACTTTTTACAAATTAACTCCACATTATTTGAGCTCCCTCCCTATATAATTTTATGAAAATGTTTAACTTCTTCAGTCCATTCCAGGTATATAGGAGCTAGGAGAGATCTAACTATATAAACAGGGATACTTTTTTATAAAGTGACTTTATTCAGGAACTACTATGCGCAAACCTCTCTGTTGTGGATCATATGCAAGAGAATTCCCTTAAGAACCTGATGACAAAACCATTAATATTTATTCCAGAGATTTATTTTTTATGTTTTATTAGCACATTATAATTATATATAATAATGGGGTTCATTGTGATATATTAATACATGCCTACAAAATAACGTTTTTTTTTCAATTTCATTCTTAGTATTTTCCCTTTTCCTCTCATGGTCCCTTCCCTAATTTTTTTTCCTCTACTCTACTGGTCTCCTTTCTATTTATTTTTTAATTGTTACATCATAATTATATGTAAAAGTAAGGTTCATTGTGAGACGTTCAGACATGCACATAACAAAATTTGGTTGATTCCCTTCCCCATTACCTTCCCTTGCTCTCCCCTTCTCCTTCATTCTTGATTCTCTTCCTCTATTTTATTAGCCTCCATTCTATTTTCACAAGATTCTTCCTCCCCCCCCCCGCTTTTTTTCTCTAGCTCCCACCTATAAAATAAAATTTCAATCCTTAACTTTCTAAATTTTATTTAGCACCATGTTCCCCAACAATTTATTAAAGCTCAAAACCTTTTTAGAACTTGTTTTCTAGCACTGTTTCAGTTGTGGAAATTGTTTCTTTGGTGGATGTCTTCATTCATTTGTTTAATTAATATTTTTGAGGGCTTTCTATTCAGGTCTCATAGGTAACATCTGGAATTCAGTTTGAGGAACTATCAATCAAAACCAAGTCAAAATCAAATTGTTAAAAAAAATGTTTACATCCAATGAGGCAATACAATTTTTTACCACACTCTTCACCTTTTTCTCTATTAAATTCTTAAAACAATTCCAAAGGTTATTACTAATAGTCAAACTCCTCAAGAAACCCAGTATTGAATGGATTTTCAGCTAGGCCTTCTTTGAATCTGATGAGTCACAATATGACTTGTTTTATTCATTATCTGATTGCATATGCTTAGTACTAAAATTGATCTTTTTCCTGTCTGAATGATGAAGGCCAAATATTTAAGAAGTTTGTTTCTCTTCTCTTAAGTTTATTGTATAAAAACAGTATGCTTGATGTTCTTGGTTTAATTTTCTTCTCTCTCTCTCTCTCTCTCTCTCTCTCTCACACACACACACACACACACACACACACACACAAACACACACACACACACACACACACACACTGACACATTTTCTATTATTTAAACTCAGTTTTATGCAACTTCTTAGCCTTTTACCTTTTCTTTCAAGGGTTTTATTCTGTCTCCTTGATTTTGAGAATGAGAATGTACCAGCACAGGGTTTTCTTAAAATGGGAGTTTATCTTACCATAAAAAACATCTTGTTCAAACTGACTCCACTTACAGCTGCTCTGCTCTCCAGTGTTCCGAGCCTGTCTCAAAAGAATCCCTTAACAGTTATTCCTCACGGTAACATGCCCAGCTCACAGAATACCATTTTGCAAAGCATGCACTTTGGATTTTAAATGAAAACAGGCAAGTTTCCTCTGCCTCTGGCATGACTCCAAACATCTGAAATGTTAGAACATGGTGCTTTTATGCTGAAGCATTACACAATCACCAGTGCGCAGAACTGCCTTGTTTCCACTACTGCTACTTCGGAAAGAGAAGAACAGAAAGAAATAGTTCTGTGCAATAAAATATGTGTGTTTGGGTGGCAGAAGGGAGGGCAAGCGGGGAATGGGTACCTGAATCATTCAGTTTAGATATCTTCCATCCTGAACATGATGGAAATGGACACCTGGAAGACTTTGTAAAATCCCTCCTACCAAAACACCTAAGAATGCAGTAAAATATCACTAATCATCAGGGCTTTAAATGTCACATTTCCTGGTCTCTGGGTTGAATCTGTGTGGGGTAATGATTGATATCCTTGGATGAGAAGAAAACAAAGGTCTTGAACTTGATCTGAGAATCAGAAATCTCTGGATTAAATGATTTTTTAAAAAATGATCCCTTCCCTTTTTTTCCAAGTCTGATTTCTGCCGCAGCTTTTTCCCAGAACATAACAGCAAAATCTTTGTCCTCAATAAATATTTAAAAGATCATGGGGAAAAGATGGATTTCTTGCAATTGTTTGCCAGCATTCTAATATAGGGAAATGAGAACAGACATGTAGGACTTTTAGCTTCCAGGGCCGATGGGAAGAGAATGTCCCAGATTTTAGGTGTGCACTGACTGTGTCCCAAGCATCTGGACAGGTCCTGAAGGCATAAACCCTGCTCTCCTTCTAGAGGGCATACCCCCCTACACCTGGACATTTAAAGTTCTGCAGGCCAAAAATGCAGCCTCACCAAGGAACTAACCCCGAGCAGACTTTTATAGGTCTAGAAATAAACTAAACCCAAGGCAGGTGCCAGATAAGAAACCCCCCTAAAGAGGCTGAGGAACCTGGTTCGCCACTGCCTGGGTTGGTCACTTGGACTTTCTATGCCTCCGTTTTTCCCATGTACAGAATGAGGATTTGAAAGACTCCTTAAGGACCCTCTCAGACTTTCACTTCTATTTTTCCAAGATCCTCAGAAGTCTTTGCCTGTCCAGCAGTGTGAACTGTAATTCCACACGCATACCTCAGCCTTCTGCCTGATTACAGGCTTAAGGTTCTGGGGTGACCCCAGGAAACAAGTGCTCTGATCTAGCAAGTTGTCTTTAATTTAAGCAGGATGTTTTCCCCTGCACTCCTTTTGCACTGTGCTGCTATGTAGTTGACTTCCTTTTCAGGACCTGCGCAACAGGGGGAGATCTCTTTTAAGTAAAGACAGAGGCTCTCTATTTCACTGGGGAGAGGGTATGGAACGGGAAAGGATACCGTTAGGACCCCTGACCCGGAGAGCCTGAAAGGGCCAAGTGGAAATGTATTTTTCTAGTAAGAGGGCAAAGCAGACTTCTTAAAACTGTGTTGGGTGTTCTCCCGCCCCACACCGAAGCTGTGCTTTCGAGAGCAGCCACTAGGCTGCCCCCGCCCAGGAGCAGGTGGTGCGCGGGTGCCGCTCTGGGGCCACTCCAGGTGGCGTGTCTGCAGTCGGCACTTTGAGACCCGCAGGGAACGGAGAATACCGGAGTCCCCCGCGTGTCCAGCCTACGCAGGAGAGCGCCGCCCTCTAGCGACCAAAATGGGAGATGCAGCGCGTCGGGAGCCCCGCAGGAGTCGCGCGGATGCAGGTCCTCGCCACTGTTAGTTCTTGGCGGAGGACATACTTGGCCAAGAACGCCCTTGGACTTTTTCTCTATGTATGGGCTCTAGAACTGTTTATGATATCCTCTAGGGCCAGCGAGATCGATAAACACCTAGGTGGATGGATGAACACAAGATAGATACAAATCAGTGATGGACACATAGTTCAAATGATATATGGATGACAGGAAGCTCAAAATACTTGAGAGTTTGCTATGTACCTAGCATAAGGATAAATGACGTTGTCCATTATTCCGTTTGATTCTCTTCTGAACACCTTGACTCTGTGAATGGTGTAATACCTCTGTCCCTATTTTCCAAATGGGAAAACTGAGGCCTTCGACTCTTTAGTGAGGAGCTTGCTTATTGGCGATCTTTTGCAGACCCAGGAAGTGGGGAAGCGGATCAATCACAAGCCCCAGACACCACTGTCTGCTTTCTTCCCAATTCCTGTGGAAAGCAGGTACACGTGCTGAGCACTTAAGTCTCTCCTTCTTTCTGAACACCACTGTCCTGGCGCGCTGACATCACAAACACCTTGGCACCTTCTCTAACTCATCCAACACCGCAGGACACCCTAGACGCAGCGCTGGAGTCAGCGAGAGTCCCCGACTTGGGACCCCGTCTAGGGAGCTGAATGAAGACGGGTCCCTGGGGCGGTGCCAGAACTGAGCGCAGACCCTGTAGAACCTGAGGTTGTACTTGCTTCTTTGAACAGGGGCCTCACTAACAGAAGAGGGGCAATAAGATCCCCTGAAAGTTTCAATCATTCATTTCCGTAACCATGAACTGCACGCCTAATGCGTGCCTGAAGCTACTAAGCGCTGCAACAAGGAACTCGGTCAAGTGTGGGGAACTCGAGGGTGAATAAATGAGGCCATTCCCGATGGCCCTGCTTCATGCCACGCAGGTACCGTGGGAGGAGGTGGGAAGAAGAAAGGGGAAGATTCACCATCTCAGAGGGTGTCCAGCATATCCAGAATCTAAGACAGTCAGTCCCATCTGCCCAACCAACGCCCCCACCTCGGTTTCCCTCCGGGAGCAGGCATCCCACCGTGCAATTTCAGTGACTTTATGCGGGGAAGTTGACCCCACCTCACTCCCTCCCCAAACTTCCTAATTGCCTTGGATTTGTCACCCGGCGGTGAGACGAGCCACCAAGCACCCCCACTCCCACCCCCACCCTCGGCCTGGGAGCCCCGTGCACCCTGCACTCCACGTCTTATCTATGGGGCTGGCACCTGGAGAAGGTCCTCTCCCAGTTTTCAGTGACTTTATGCGGGGAAGTTGACCCCACCTCACTCCCTCCCCAAACTTCCTAATTGCCTTGGATTTGTCACCCGGCGGTGAGACGAGCC